GATATTGTGTGCTACACACGTGTATCATCATGACCTTCATTTCGGTGACCGGATGTCACGTGACCAGCGGTGTCTATGAGGCGTTCATGGATCTGTCTGACTTTGTCAACAACTGCTCGGCCGTCCGGTACAGGATGCCGCCGTTGGCCGAAGGGAGAATCAACATGACCTTCATGCCCTTCCAGATTCTGTCCGTGGACGAACGGAACCAGGCGTCGATTTTGTCCTCGCTGATCACACTGAAGTGGACGCTGGACAACTGTCACTGGTCACCGGCAAACCACGGCGGTAAGGGGGTGTAGTGTGAATGGTAAGCGGCACACTACAAATGTAAGGTGGTGTTGTGTCAGAGGTAACCTGAAAAATACAACAGTAAGTTGTGTTGTGTCAGGGGTCAGCCCGCAAACTACAATGTTATGGTTTCGGGCAGTTGAGGAATTAATTTCAATATACGCCAGTTCTTAACGGGCAGACATCGTTTGAAATCACTGCAGCGTTATGGGCCTACAATTTTATTTCCTAATCACTGCAGCGTTATGGGCCTACAATTTTATTTCCTTCTTATATATGTGAGAAACAGCTTCATTCAACCTAGAAAGCATGTGCTAAATTTTCTTAATTACAAAGAACACAAAGGCAATTCTAAAGTTTCTAAAAAAAAGTAGAAGGGGATGATTGATTGATTCAATACACTAAAATATATCATTAAGGTATTTTGAATTTTGTTTGAGCTTTAAAATAAATCCCTTACAGGCGAGTTTAAAAAAAAAATATGCAGTTGTAATAGATTTGTCTACATTGTGTCAGGCTTGCATGAAATAGACATCGACACTGACCAGATCTGGTCGCCCATAATTACGACACCCAAGAGCACCGTGACACCCGTGCTGCCTCTGCCTAGGACTGTCACGGTAAGTGTGATTGTTTTGCTCCTCAATCAAACAACCACTAAATGCAAACATTTTCGTATAAATCGTGTGTGTCCGTTTTTTTATTATTTATATGGTTAAAATAAACAAATACAGACTGCGTTCAAAATGCCAACGTACAATCAAGCGACTAATCGTCTCGCAGTAAATCTGACAACACAAGGGTTCACCTATGGCCATGAATAATCAAACCAGACAATGGTTCAACTGAAGCATCAAAACAGACCAATTTTAAAGGACAACAAAAAATTCAGAAAAAAAGACATTTTGAGACAGAAAACACAATACGAGCAATTCATTCAAAAGATATTTCTATTTATTTTGGCTCAAGAAACGCATCTTATCGTATAAATCTTGAAACAATTACTTGGTTATTTTCAAGCCCCTCTACAGCTTACCCCGAATATTAAATCCAATTACAATTTGCCAGTTTTTTGTTGTTCTTGTGTTATTTTTTTTTTTTTTAATAAAGCTCATTAGTGTTTCTGGCAAAAAAAAAATTAGACACATAAAAAAATAGAAAGGAAATAACGAAAATCGAAATTTTTTATTTGCTTTTAACACATATTCACTTTTGCCATGTCTGGATTTGAAAATGGCCGCGTTCCCTGCTGATCAACCACCTCAGCTGTACAGTAACGGTCAAGTTAAGATGTCGATCCCGGGGCCCGTGGGGACGACGTGCTACCTGAACCTCGAGCTCTATCCCTTCGACCACCACAACTGCACGGTGCCTTTCATCGTGATGAACAGCGACGGCCTCTACCCGACTGCCTCGAACAACGTGATGCGCGACCTCAACAAGTACTTCAGCACCAGCGCAGAATGGCAGCTGTTGAACAATGGATGCGCCCTAATCAAGGTAAGCAGCTCCCTATAGTTTGTAGGGTTAGCTCTAAGTCAGACGTGCCGGGGGTTGATTTATTTACTAGATTCGCGTAGCTTCACGCGGCGATTAATGAAGCATCCAAAAAATATGCGGGAATTTAAATGTGCACAACTTGCATGAAGTTGAACTGCCCACAGTTCGGGGGTCATTTCCGCTTTGGTAGACAAAATTGAATTGAATTGTATCAGGGTGGCGTAAAATGGAAGGGCACGGAGGGTGGAGGTAAGGGAAACGTCAGCGAGGGCGTACAACGTAAGGGGAGTACAGAAGGTGTTAGGAGCGGGAAAGCGTCCATAAACGACAGGGACATGTCAAGTGGTATGCAACCGGTGCTCCCTTGTGGTTTTCACACACTGCAGCAGGTTAGGGACGAGCATAATTCTTGGTATATGGATGAATAAACCTAAAATCAAGTAGACCAGGCCTGCACAACATACTGCTCACGGGCCGCACGTGTCCCGCCAGCACCCACTTTGCGGCGCGTGAAGTCGCGATATATTCTTTATTCTTGTTATTTTCTTACTAGCTCTCCCCACCCCCCCCCCCTTTTTTCCTATTTTCTTTTGGCACGCACAAGTTTGTCAGAAAGTTTTATGGCCAGCATTACATCTTGAGTTGTGCAGGCCTGAAGTAGATGATTAGAAGCCCAAATTAAGATTCTGTACAGGTGCCGATATTAACCGGAGATTCAGATATCCTAATGGAGTGTCACTCGTAACAAAATCCATCGTCTTGCAGTGCGTGCAATGTCTTGGCAGGACCATGTGGAACTATTTCAGGCCTACGGAAGTCAGAATGATCCACACTTTGAGCGTGGCCCCTTCACATGGAACTATTTCAGGCCTACGGGAGTCAGAATGATCCACACTTTGAGCGTGGCCCCTTCACATGGAACTATTTCAGGCCTACGGGAGTCAGAATGATCCACACTTTGAGCGTGGCCCCTTCACATGGAAGAAGAAGAAGTGAGATGTCACGTACTGCTTCGGCTTTCATCATTAATTATACGGTACATAAATTTAATAACGCCATGGATGCACAAGAGATGACTTAACTCTTACTGGAGGGCACGAGTTATTTCTTACCTTTTCTCATTCACCGGCGAGTGTCTGAACTGAACAGCCTTTATTTATCGCTAACTCTCTAACCATTAATTATACAATATATAAGTCATCACAAAATTAAAACACTTTTTGTTCTCTCCCCTACCAAAGACAAACTCTTTAAACTACACGGAGTGCTGGTTCACCATGCAGAGAAGAAGCGCCTTCTACGTGGCCACCCTCATCTTCCCCATCATCCTGATGTCGGTCATGACGCTCCTCGTCTTCTGCATCCCGGCCGAGTCCGGCGAGAAGATCGCCTACGTCATCTCCATCTTCCTCTCCATGACGGTGTTCATCAACTTCCTGGTGGACTTCCTCCCGCGGAGCATGGCGCGGCAGCCGAGGGTCGTCCAGCTGATCATTGCAGTCCTCGTCAAAATCGCCCTCACCACGGCCGCGACGGCGATCGTGTTGAAAAAGTACAACCTTGAGAGGACGGGAAAGCCCAGGGGTGAGGTCAAAGTTCACCCGACGATCTGCCGAGCTGACGTCCTTAACACCACGGTTCATCCAATAGTCCCCCGAAATGACCCCGCTGCCCCAGAGACTCTTCTGTTTGTCAAAACTTCCGGAACAATCAAAGCCGAGGCGGATCAGATCAAGGTCAAGGCGAGCGCTGTAGAAAAAATTAAGGTCAATCCAATCCCCGTAGATCAGGGTCAAGGTCAGGTGTTAATGAGGAAAAAATATTCAAACATTTCCAGCAAGGATTTGGATAATATATTTTTCTGTATTTTCCTCGCTTCTGACATTGCCCTCTATACTCTAATTCTGATTTAATAGAGACGCTGTTGGCCACCATTTCTCGATTATCACGATTGAAGAAGCGGCCATGAGATCTATACGCATGAATTCATTCAAAGACTTAGAAACGTCATACTCTTTGCCTCTATCTCTTTGTATATTAAATTCTAGATCGATAGTCCAATATGATTGCTCTGTTCAGGCTCATACACAGTTGGAACGACCACGTCATGACACGTTTCGGTGCAACGCGAATTGGGATACAATATATCGCGGTCGTAGTTTGGCTCCCATCATTTGGTATAATATTGTCAAATAATTCATTCGAATTTGTCTTTTCTTGTTCATTTTTTCAAAATCGCGGTCGTAGTTTGGCTCCCATCATTTGGTATAATATTGTCAAATAATTCATTGGCATTTGTCTTTTCTTGTTCATTTTTTCAAATTAAACAAATGAAACAAAACCTAAGTTTTTCGTACAAATCCTACATATGCATTTTTCAAAATTTATTTTACATTAATTGTTAGTCTTTGAATGCCCAACCTGCTTTCAGCAAAGATTTATTACATGAACGATTTCAGGGGTGACAAAAGAAGAAAGTATTACCCACCAAACGCACTTGCGATGTTAAAAAAATTTTTTAAAAGAATTTCGTTTAGCGCAGTTATCGAGAATTTTATTTTGTGAAATCATTGTTATTATATTTCCATCATCTTCCAGTTGCGAAACTTTCTTTAGGGTGGGGCTGAAAATTTGAAAGAATGAGTTGTCATCGGCAATGTCAGGATTTATTTTTGTTCATGGAATCAATTCTCTTATGTTTAAAATAATATCTTCCAAGTGGCCTGTGGAGCAAAATGAGTCACGATGGAGTTGGGATATAAGTGTTTTTATGTACTGACAGTACAGTTGAAAACTAGGTACTGACACTGACAGTATAGTTGAAAGCAAGGTACTGACACTGACAGTGCAGTTGAAAACAAGGTACTGACACTGACAGTGCAGTTGAAAATTAGGTACTGACAGTACAGCTGAAAATAAGGTACTAACACTGACAGTGCAGTTGAAAATTAGGTACTGACAGTACATTTGAAAACAAGGTACTGACACTGACAGTACAGTTGAAAACAAGTTACTGACACTGACAGTGCAGTTGAAAACAAAGTACTGACACTGACAGTGCAGTTGAAAACAAGGTACTGACACTGACAGTACAGTTGAAAACAAGGTACTGACACTGACAGTGCAGTTTAAAATTAGGTACTGACACTCACAGCGCAGATGAAAATAAGGTACTGACACTACAGTTGAAAACAATTTGAACAAATAACTTTACACCTTCAGCTATTTTATTGATAGAAAAGACAATTAAAAAAATTAGATCATAATAAAAATCATGTTATCATATATCATCTCAGTGCCAAGTAAGTTCATGCAATGTTAGAATTGATGTTAATGGCTCAAGTGAAACACAAGTTGCTGGTTTAGTTATTTACTCACAGTAAATGCATCCAATTACTATTCAACATACAGCAACAGCTCAACTCATGAAACTTATTCTTCATATTGAATAAGGGACGTTTATTTTTTAGGTCAGTTAGCGTATCTCATATTTTACTTTAGTTGAACTTGTAGATTACAGTGCTAAGTGATGGATTCGGCATCGACTGAAAACAATTTGATGCCTAACAATTGGGAAGAATAAAATAAAAACTAACTGCTCCCTAAACAATATCCAGTATTCACATGCATGAATAATGTTACAGTGTCAAGGTCATTTGTTAACTTGCCTTCATTTACATTACATTACTGCAGATTTGTTTGGGTTACTGGTCACAAGTTAGAATTGTATCTTCATCATTTAAACTTTAAAAAATATCGCCATCATTATTTGAACCATGTAGCCAAATTGGGCAAGTGCCCTTCAACCTGCCACCATGGAGAAGAATTTACACATGATAATTGAAAATAGTTGATTATTTTAATTGAAAATCAAAATTGACTTTTAATTAAATTTTATTTCATTAGGTTCTAAAAATATTTCACATCTAATTCCTTCTTATAGTTGTTATTGTATTTAGTCATTTAGTTAAATTACAATGTTTACCTTTCTCTAAAACGTCTAGACAAAATAATACTGCATTAAAAAAAAATTATTTTTATGTGAGAAAGTTTTAGAGTAGGAATGAAGAATAAAATAAAACACTTTGATTTTTTAAAATATTTTCTGATGTCATGGCAAGAATGGCTTATCATAAAGGCATAGGAAAGTGAATGAAAGATCGTCCCATTTCTATAATCTGAGATAAGGACCAGCATTTTATGTGATGATCTATGCACAATCCCTTCTTATTTTAAATCTGCAATAATATTACAGAGAAAAATATGTCAAATGAAACGCATATGTTATGGTAACTTTGTAAATACTGTAATAACAAACCTAAGATATTATGAAGACAACATAAGTTTATATCAACTTAATTTATTTTATGACAATTATTTATTATCAGCTAAGTTTTTATAAGTTTTATGATGGTTTAAAATCATGTCAAGAGATAAGGTTTACAACAAAAAAAAAGAAATTATTTCTGAAATCATTCTTAAATTGCCTTTACTTTTAAAAACCCTTTTATTTGCAAAAAAAAATTTGAATTTCATAAAAATCTACCATGAAACTGAAAAGTTAAATATTGTAAACACATGAAATAAAATTATATTTGACTGATTTCCAAAATGTCTGTGTTCAGTTATTATGTTTCTCTCACAATCATTAAATTGATTTGATCAGACATGCAGGTTATCCTAGTATAACCAAGATGGATTTTTTACAACAACATGATGAAATAATACTAAGATCCAGCTAAGGTTAACTGCCGCTGCCATGTGCATTGTTTTCCAAAGCTTGGATTTTCTCAGAGACTTCTGCCATTTGTTTTTCACATATATCTAGCTTGGCCTGCAAAAAAAAAAAAGGTGGATTAAAAAAAAGAATTACTCACAACCCTTTAAGCTTAAGGCATTTTTAATCTTATTTCCTAAATGAAAATGAAACCAATGATATTCAAAACATTCTTTCCTTTTCCTCAGCCCAGAAATTATTTTTTTATTATAAGAGAAACCAAAGACTTACTAAATGAAGTAAAAGAAAATAACATTTACTTCATAAAATCATAGTGGAAAATTGTGTTTTAATATGTGAAAACATATTATTATGTTAATCATTCAAAGAACAAAAAGGGGCCTTCTGGCTCTTAGAATCAAATTTAAAATCTAAATGGGAATAATAAGCACATTGTTTTGTTTTATACATACAATATATATATTTTTTTAAATGAAACATTTTCAAGAAATACAGAAAAAAATGTCCATCATAATGGCTCTATGACTGCTATTTTTAAATTCAGTATTGACATTTCTATATGTAAAAAGAAACTGTTTAATGATGAAATATAAATCTACTGTTGCCGTTATAAAGAATAAAATAATATGATACATCATACTTTTAACAACCAATTAGTCCAACTAAACTTTAAAAGAAACAATACTGTGAAAAAAATAAAACAAAAAAAAACTTAAGCACAAAGCAGAGGCCAAAATAAAATCAACTTCAGGATGCTAGGGTTAAAATGGTAATGACCTTATTCATTTTCAGACTATTCATTCTGGTCGTTTGTGTCAGCAGAACTCAAGGTTAAGAAATCACTGACATAGCAAGTACTCATTTCATAACAATTTATTTTATTGAGAGTGCATCAAGTGAAACGTGAATGGACAATTATTTAATCCCCAAATGAATGTCTGAACACATTTATTCCTTAATTAAAATAATATTTTTAACATCAAAATAAAGTAATTTTTTTTCACATGCCACACACAGCAATTTCCCATTTGAAGAAAATGATTTGCATTGGTGCATTGAAAGTCTGACCATAAAAAAAATGTTCTTTCAGTTTTACGCCCTAGATTTAAGTGGAACAAATACACACACACAAATATGAGGGTTATTCCATTTGTGCAATCATCAATGTGGGGGAATACTCTGTCTTTAAGAGCCATCAGTTTGAGGAATAATCTTGTTCCACATTGTGAAAAAATAATATTTTTTCCGCAATAATGTGTGGGGAATTTTTTTTGAGGGGACTAACCATTGGAACCAGTTTAATTATGTTTCATGGAGATACAGAGGAGAAGGGGAAGGGAATTGATAATTAAGATGTATCACAAGCAGAAACCATTAAAATAGACTAAATGTCACACTTGCAGAAGAGACAGAGGAGAAGGGAAAGGGAATTGATAATTAAGATGGATCACAAGCAGAAACCATTCAAATAGACTAAATGTCACACTTGCACCAAACAATAACCGGATAAATGTTTTTTCACCTGTATCGTGTTGACGAGACTCTTCCTAAGCTTCCTGAAGTCCTCGTTATTGTGAGAGCTCAAGGAGTCAATCTGCTCCAAGACCTTCATGGCATTTTCATGCACAAGTATTAAGCCCTTTTTGCTTGCTCTCAGAGCATCCAGGTCCTATTTGAGGAAAATTATCATTTATTTAATACATGACGTTGTCATCTGATTCTCTAAAATATAAAAAAGTACAAAAATCTGTAATGTCCATTCAATGTCATTAAAATGAGAACACTGGTGGCAGGCAATTGTGTGGTCAGTTGCACAACCTAGAACCTATTGTATCAATAGACCAAAAAAATAGGTAAGTGGTACAATTATGAATAGTGAATTCAGTTATTGAATAGCCTCTGTTTTAGAGAAACTTATTCATGAATATCTCACTGCATTCACTGAAATATTATCTTTGCAACTCTGGAAAAATGAATCAAATTCACATCTGTTACATGCAATATTAACTATAAGTCTCCGTATGATTTATCCACAAATGTCAGTTTAAAAAATGCGTTCCTAGATCATTCATGCTTCCGATTTTAGGAGATTTATTTACCAGAGGACCTTGGCATTCTCTGACGCTCAGGTCACACTGGGAGCAAAGCCTCTCAACATCGGCCTGCAGGTCCTGAAGTCGCAGGTGTGCCTCAGAACTTTCCTGTTACGAAAACACTTAAAGAGTCAGGAGAAATATTTTTTATGAAATTCAAATAGGGAAAAGATAATTAACAACTCCTGTGTGAAATAATTCAATTATGATACATGAAAAACCAAGTTCTGATTGTCCATATAAAACAACTTGCCCAGACTTTATAGTTTCAACACTTTAAAATTACACCATTGTCTTTTGGTGATGGTCCTTTTAGGAAAAAATGCTTAAGTATTGTAGGAATCCCTCCCACATATGTTAATTAGTATATGGTTGGTTTTAAAGTAAATCATCTATCCTCTGTTTTGAATCATGGAAAAAGAACACGTACACTTTTTGGTGGGCTTTCAATTTTCTTTTCTGAAGTCTGAAAATTAGATGTTAACAAAAGAAATAATTACCCACGGTGACCAAAGGATATTTAGTTTAAATTTCAAGAATAAAATGAATCTTGATTCCCCACCCCCCACTTACAACTTTAACAGTCGTGAGACCAAATATTAACATTATTTATGTGGTCTTTACAATCTCAAGTTAAAAATTCCAAATTGTTTTTTTGTTTTTTTACATTCCTTGGTTTCGTCTCTGAAACTTGACACTTTTTACATTAAGTAAATACATTTATTGATAATGAAGTTTTTAAAAAAAAAATACCTTACGTCCAAGCAACATGATCTTGTCCCCATTTCGAACGCCAAATGATGACAGTCTTTCATTCAAGCAGTCAGCAACGGCTTTATCATCTGCTTTGAATAGCGTTTTCCCTAAGGTTGAAAAAAAAATGGAATAACTTTCAAGCTTGGGTGTAATGCTTGAGTTGTTTGCGGTCTTGGACAAATGTTATGCTTATCAGAATCAGCTCCAATTAGAAAAGAATGCTTACACATGTAAGAAAGATCAAGAGTGATTTCAACATAATGAAAGTCTTTGTTTTTTTAAATATTTGAATGTTAAACATGGTGTCTTTCTCTTCTCATTCATTGATTGTGCTAGACATCTTATTTACATTTTGCCAAACAAAAACTACTTGATATAAACTACATTAAATTTATATTACTTTATAAAAACTACATTACTCTCACATGACTTTATATAAATTAAAGTAACTTTATATTACTTTATATAAATTACATTAATTGTACATTACTTTATATAATTAACCTGACATCACTTTAAATTAATTAATTAAATTTATTACTTGACTTTATACATTACTTTGTAGAAATTACCTTCTCTTCATACTATTTATATACATGACATTAACTTTATAACACTATAGGCCCTACATACTTATATCAACTTTATATCACTTACATAATTTCATTAATTACCTTATATATATTTTATTAATTTCATTAGCTTAATACAAACTCCAGATTCTCCATACCTCTGTAAATTAACCTTTGACACAGGGGTTCAATATTTGTCTCCTTGTAAACAACATCTGATAGATGACCCACAGTTAAGTACTCTGCCCCACCACCAATGTTTGACACATCAAGATGAACAGGAATTTTTTTCTGACCTGCAGGAGACATTTTACTTTTTTAAAAATTATCCTCACACATCAAGAATGCTTTCGGTAACAACATGAAGACTTTTTTTGCACAAAAATGTAATTTAAATGATGTAAATCTTCTGGCCCCTACAAGGTGCTATGTTCCTTTCACAGACCTGCCTAACTAGTTACTAAACAGCAGGTTTAATGCTTTTTGCATCCCATAACAAAAAAACAAAATGAAAAAAATATGAATTTCAAAAAGAAAAGCAGTAGACTGTTTATTTTGTGTGAAAAGTGAAAAGCTGTTTCTTATCATTTTTACACCATACTGCTTATCTTCGATTGGTTCTTTGGTTTTCATTAATGATCTGAGTTCTGCCAACTTTAGCAGCCTCATTTAGAATCATGATTGTTGTCCTTTGAATCTTTAAATAATGTAAACTAGCTTGTTACTTAAAATATGACTTTGAGGGTGGTTACATACTAGAAAGAAATTGGGGTTTATGTACTACAAACAATTTGATGCAGTAGGCAGGTCTACTTAAATTTATTTATTAAAACATTTCAAATTAATAGATCTTCATTTTAGTAGAACAAAAACAAACTATACCGTCTACAGCTTGGGAACTGAATTGGTCACTCTTTTATGACTCAATTTTTCTATCACCTTGGCTGGCCAACGTCTGATAATAAATGACAGATACAAGCATGATGCTTGCCCTAAACCACACTTAACATTCTGAGGCATTACCTGTCAACAAGTGACACAAATTGGTGAATTTAATGTTGAGTTAAAATTTCTGTATACTCCTCATCTCCCTCCACTACACAACAGACCAATGAGGGTGTGATAAACAAGCCATATTTTTAAAAAAAATTATTCAAGTGACAATTGAGTAGCCAGAAGCAGCAAGTTATCTATTCTAAGGGTTTTCCTCATCAAAAGTGATACAAGTGAACATTGGCATACATAGAAAATAAATCATTTGTGACTAGGTAGTACTGGTTGTTCTCAATATAAGAAGATTTTCAACAGGCAGGATGCAGAGTGTCAGGTTGTAGTGGTGCCTGAAAACTTTTACTTGGAACCTCAGTTTCCAGTGTTACCGAAGATATTACTTTTCTAATTTTTCATTGCATTTTGACATTTTTTTGGTTAGGTTTCAATTTCTCAGTCACAACAATATCCTACTATTGCCATACCTCTAAAAATTGTGTGATTATATCAACTGGAAAATTAATTAGCTATGCACTATATAATAGAAATAGAAAGATTTTATATGGTCTCATGAGTTGAATAATCTATTCAAGATAACCAATGCAACACAACCATGTCCTTGAGCTTCATCCATAGCTTTAAAGACAAATGCAAAACAACAGCCAACAGTGGTAAGTCACAAACTTGATGATAGCCTTTTTGCCTAAAATGAAGTGTGTGCTACAGTGTTCCACGTTGCGCAAGCAGTATTTTTTTTTTTTTTACTTCAAGTGTATAAATATTAATTAAGTATACTGCCGATCTCATGTTCAGTAAATGTATTTTTTAACGTTGATATATTGTATTTCTATGCTGGAATTTTTAATTTAAACTTTTCTTTGACTAAACTTTAAGATAAAAACGAACTGTTTGCATGGAAAACTTCCTAGGGATAGATTTCTTCATTAAATAGTTATGTTAAATTATGTTTGAAGGTGTTGCAATATAACGTGGAAAGGGTCACTTTGCTTTTATTTCAATGTGGTCATGACTTAAAAACACTTGATAACAAGTGTGCTAGAGCTACTGAGCTTGGTAATTCAGTGTTGTTAACTATATTTTACAGGTCCTGGCTTATAGTGACAATTTTGGACAATCTACGCCTCATTGAAATTTTTTTTTTTTTCTAAATTCATATTTTAACACACCAACTGTCGTTGGCTTATTTCATCGCCAAATTTTCACTTCCGAAATTGTGTCGGCCATTTTATCGGCCGATAAAAAATGCCGAAAGAATAAGTTCCAGTCCAATATTTTACACCAAATAAAACCACTTCCTTTTATAGATAAACGAACTTTTTTTTTAAACTTGGAATTATTTTTACAACGATCTTCATCAAGAAAATTTGTGTCAGTAGATTTCTGCGAAGTGGATGAGGCAATTGATGGATCGTCTGGTTTACAAAATAAATCAGTTACGAATCTTTTTGATAATTATTTTTAGTTAATGACTTAAGTGATTCGGAAGATGATTTTCCGATCACACACAAAGACAATAAAATAAATTATTTTTCTAGTGGGTCAGAAAGCAAAAGTTCGGACAATTTAGTGCTAGGCCTAGAACGAGTAGGCATTGCCGCAACAACAGGTCTCGTTCAAAACTATGTTTCAGATGATTTTGTACCTACAAAAAATGTTTTAATGTTGTGTTACATATGTTTTCTTATGTTTCATTTTATGGATTAAATATTTATATAGCAGCTTTTTAAATTTTATCTGTTTCTTGCTATTTAGTAATGTTTATATTGTTTATGTCGTGATTGGTTACTTGAACGTAATTACAGGTATCAGAAGAAATTTTTTAATCTATTAATAACTAAAACATATACAAATTTTCTGAAAGATTAATAAAAATGCTATCATATTATATAGACATTATAATAATATGCCTTTAAAAAAGGCAGTTTGAGGTAATTGAAAAGAAAAATTTTCATTATTTTCTTTATTCTTGACTACTCCAGAGTCAAGGTCAGTGAGTATAAAAGATCATTAAAAATAGCCAGTATGATTCCCCTCAGTCTAAGTTCAATAAATATATACTTTATGGGGTCTAGCTATAATAGCATTAAATAGAAAGCTGAAGGGTGAGAAAGAAGAGGAGAAAAAAAAGGAAGGGGGGGATTCTAGATAAAATTCATAGCTTTCCCTTCATAATTGATAGAAAGATTAGATTGGTCTTTCTGGAAGCCAGCTCGTTCCAATGCCAATAGCATACATTTACATACTATTATAACTTTATGTGTATTTGAAATTTATTTGAACATTTTAGCTGGATTTGGAATACCCAACCTACTTTAAATATGATTTTCATTCATCATAAAACACAAAATTTGGCATAGCCTAATATTACTAACAATAATAATTGGATTAAATGACATGACTGTCATGATGACTATCAATGTCAATGTCCAATGCTTAATTCTTAGAGTCTGATTTAGCCTATTATTTTGAAGGCAACGGACATTGACTAATGAGTCTTAATCTTACATTTAAAATTTTAAGGATGTAGTAGGGGTAGGCTTAAGTCACTTACCTACCACTTGCTGCTTACTTGACTTACATCATTTACATTTATTTCATTATGTAAGATTTGTAATAATTTATGTTTATTGATTTTATTTATAGGCCACAATCACAATAGTCTATCTAATGACTAATCATTATGAATCATTGATAATGTCTAATGATATGAGTATGAGTCATAACTTAATATGACTTATACTTACAGGGCAATGTCAATATGAGGCTAAGGAAGCCAAAGGGATTACAAGGAAATTACTTTTTTTTTTATTAGTGTTTTACAAAATCAAGTAATGATCATGACTCATAATTATGTCATTAAAAAAAATATGAATGAGAACAATCATACAATGCACTTCTTAAGGCAAAGCCTAAGCTCAACTTACTTTACTTAGGCCTACTTACTTGGACGGGACTAGGCCTAGGTCTAGGTTGTTAACTTGACACAAATAAATGTATCTTCTTGTGATACATGATATTAATGTAGCCTAGGCTTATAATAATTAAATAAGTGATTATTTATTTAGACGATTTAGGCAGAGAACATAACGGCTATTTCTCTTCTCTACTAAGCCTACTGATTACCGAAAACTAAGACGATGTCCAGGACTTCGTCGCCTCTTGACGAGGCCATCTTGTAAACAATGCCTAGCAGTTTAAAATATTTCTATTACGTCAGTCAATATTGTGCATTAGACCCAATTAGCTACAACTACGAATCGCGTTAAGGGGGATTTTAGGATGATTTCGATCCTACCACCAGGGTTTCTTTCATCTATATCTCCGGGCAGTCCCCCCCCCCACGGAGCAAAAATATGTCCAACAATAAATCAACTGGCACTGCTGGCACTGCCCCCCTCCCCCGAAAAATCTGAAGTTTCCCCAAGGGTTTCTTTCATCTATATCTCCGGTGAGTCCCCCCCCCCCACGGAGCAAAAATATGTCCAACAATAAATCAACTGGCACTGCTGGCACTGCCCCCCTCCCCCGAAAAATCTGAAGTTTCCCCCCACCCCCGGGAAATTTCTGAAATAATCAATGCCTACCGCACTTTTGAGAGCATCAGTGAACATTTGAGATTCGCTTCTCCTTGTCTGCTCCTCTTTAAATGCATTTTAATGAAGAGGTCCCATTTATTAGTGTTTAAGTTTAGAGATTTTATAAATGTCATTGTCATCACCAAAGACGTGTCTTTAGTCTATTGAAAGAACGTCTTATACCTCACTCCCAGGGCTGTTTTTCAAGCGTATCTCTGGGTCTTACCCCACTATAAGATAACGAAAATGTCCCCCCCCCCCCCTCTCTCTTTTTTACTATCATCACTCTTTCCCCCTATCCTATACCCCCATTTCCACCACCCTGGGCGTCCGCCTAGTCTTGCATCATAGTAGAACCTGCCCTGCTTCCTCTTCCCTTTTTATGAGCGGAACTAGAAATAGGATATATTAATATTAATAAATACAATTGGATCACAGTAAGCCTATTTATTTGTATTTTTGTTTAAAAATAAAAGTTTTAAAAACTAAACACCCAGATGCTCTTAAAATATAGTTACACTGTTTTATCCAATTAAATTTATTATAATCGTGCTAATTTTAGTAGTACATCCTGACGTATAGGCCTAGGCTAATTAAATGCAAATATTCTTTACACATGAACAATTTGTTGCATGTGCGTATGAGTAGGAGAAAATACAAAATATTGCTGACAATTTATTATTAATTCAATGTTTAGCACCTGTACTTTTGACTTAGAATATGCCTATTATTTAGGACTTGATTTATTCAGAAAACACCGTGTTTCACTAAATAGTGTAGACTTCACACCTTTAAATATTATTTGTTTTCTCTCCAATCACATACGAAACGCAACCCCAAACAAAATATTAAGAATGCTTTTTAAATTTTGAAAATAATGGACTTTCAAACTATACAAGCTAATGTCTTCTCTGTTCTCACAATCATTTTTTAGCACACTCATCTGAAATGCCACCTTCGCAACCTAGGTCAAGAAAACCGTGCCTTAAGTCAAGATCAACAAATATAAATTGTTATTAAACGATGATCATTTTAAACCTTTGACATTAGTCTTAACTTCGCCTCATACTTTTAATCAACTAGAGAAACTTGTATGCAAAAATAGTCTTATAGATAAAATAAAAGATTTCAATATCATGTTTCCGAATTTAATTCATTTATAATTTTAGGCGTCCGAAGACTCCTGCACAAAATCTATTTGATATGTCATAAATGACACCAAAATCAACAAGATAGAAAAGGACTGTTGATCCAATCCAAATGTTAAACATAAATGAAAAAGTTTTCAATCAGAATTTTGCAAAATTTACAAATAAAGAAAACAATAGAAATCTCGACTAATAAAAAAATTTAGGATTTAAAATTATATAGCATTACAAATTTGTATCTTTTGATCAAATTAAAACAAATAATCTTTTATATTAAGTATGCTTTAGATATATTATCATGAATTTAAATATATATTTACGTTATTTTCCCTTAGCCTAGTTGTATCCCCTGATATTTTTTTTAAACCAAATATTTTTTTATATAAAAACTATTAATTCATTTATTTTTAATTTATTTCGTATTTTCATTGAGTAAATATTATTATTTGAATAGAACTAAATAATTGATGTATTCAAATTTAATGATTTCTTTAAAATAAACTTTAAAATAAATTTCTAACAGCAAAATAACGTATATTAAAAACAGAAAGAGTAGGCGAATGTGAACATTTTAAAATAAATGATTTTTTTTAAAAGGCAATTTAAATATTTATTGTTGTAATGTAGCCTATAAATCTATAAATTTAGCCCTTGTAATATTTAGTCATCAAAATTTCATTAGCAAGTGGAAGCAAATGATTACAAGCAAATGCCCAACACAAAAAAAGAGAGACTTCAAGAGAGATTATCAATAACATTCCAAGATTTGATTTTTGCGAGAGACATGAATGAGCACACACAAAAAACTCATTTGGGTATCAAATTTGGAAAAATATATTTAAAAATGTAATATTTAAAATATTTACAAACCTAAAAATAAAGATGCAACTATGTTAAATATATTATACCCATTTAAATTGCAAAAACAAAAAAAAACAAAAAAAAGACAAAAAATTAAAATTAAGTTATTTTCCTTCGCAACGTTACAGTCCCCGAATTCTCTTCCTGAACCCAACCCCCCAACCCCAGTTATTTTTAAAGTAAAAAAAACACACATTATTTATCGTCTGCGTTTAAAGTAATAAAAGTAACAACATGTTTATAAGCACTATGCTTATTTTGAAAAAAAAAAGTATGTCATTTTTTTAAAAATCTTTAAACCAGAAACTCGGCATTATTCATAAAGGAAACACAATAGTATGACATGAAAAACAGAAGAAGAAATATTGACGTTGGTGTAAAAATTTGGCAATATAAATATTTATTTAGTCCAAGTCTGTTTGTAGTAACATTGCTACGAAACAGTCCTACGTTTCAATAATATGGTACACACAATGCAAAACATTAATCAAGAAAAATAAATGTAATGAAACAATGTTTATTGTTTTCAATAATAAATCTTGCTTCCCCGAAATCATTTAGTGAAGATAAATTGTTTTGTTTTTTTTCTATCTGCAGAAAATTTAGTAACTTATAGTATGCTGTGTTGCTAGGATACGGCGCTCTTACCACCCAGGAACTTGTACAATTCGTACACATGGGACGAGTCGCCAAGGGAGATTATCGTGAAAACCGATGCAAGGACGGCCACCCCTACACCCCCGATCATTCTAGCGGAGAAGCGATAGTCGGGGGCGGAGGTCATCGTGCGTCTGTAGGCAGAGGTGTTACGCTCATCGATGTACAGATGTCTGTGGATGTCGCCCGTTAGCTTTTCAACGTCTTGTCCTGTCGTAGACCACGTCGTGGTTTTGAGACCAGACGAGGCAGTGGTTACGTCAGAGTGTTGGTTTTCGCCTTGAGTCGTACCCGCATAGGTGGCTTCTTCTTCGGTAGCGTGGACGTCGGAGGTGGGGAAATATGGCGCGTCCGTGGTGGGACCAGAGGCAGAAGCGGCAGACTCACGTGTCTCAGTTGTTTCATAGGCGGTTTCAGATGTGGTGCCCTCAACCGCGCATGTGGTTTGCGGCACATCTTCTTGCAGAAGACTGGCCTGATACTTGTCATAGGAGGGTATCTGAAACAAACGCAATTTTAAACTTGATAAAATGGGATGTGAACAGGATTTTGTCGATAAATAGGCTCTTTGAATTGCATTTTATGAGGCAAAGGTACGTTTTTTACCCTTTGGAAATCTCATCCGATTTTTAGCTAAATATTTTACTAGAATTATGAAAAATAATAATGCGCAAAGAGCAACCAGTCGGTCATAAAGAGATATCATCTTGTAATGTGCAATCATACATTTGATTCATGACTAATATGCTCTCTTGAATAGGGTAGTAATACACATATCCTCATAAGAATTTTAAAAGGATCATGGCTTTTGAAATTTATTGGAAGATCTTAACCGATCAAAGATGGGAGTGGTTTTATATATATTTGCCTCTTATCGTATATTAAAGATTAACATGCAAAACAATAGCAACTTGATGAGTACGCACGCTGCTAGCAGTCCCCTGTTTGGCAGCGATTCCAAGAGGGTGGCAGAAGGAAGCGCTGCTGCCGTATGCGAATAAGTAGGCGCCAAACTTGGCTCGTTGGTTGGTGAGCTGTACATGGTAGTAGCGGTCCGTGCCTGGGACCGTGTACAAGACACCGGTGTATGGCGTCCCTGGTCGACAGATGGAGGAGTGAAATTTAACAAAATTTCAGACAAAAAGGTGAGGGGGGGGGGGGGATGGGAGGGTCAAAAAACACCGTTTCCACCGCCTCCCCCCCCCCCCTCTTCCTACGCCAGCGACTCTCATGAATTATTTACTGATGGTGATCACGCCAAGTCATGTTTAAATAAAGCTTTTCCAGGATTGTAACCATATTTTTTTTTTTGATAAGTGGCTAACAGCAAGGTTTCTACAATTTTGGAATGATTTTTAAGCAATGATTATCTTTAAAAGGAAACGCAAAAAAAGGGCGTGAATACCTTCCTTTTAAAGATATTACTGTCAAAGGGGAAAACGAATTTAAGTACATTTAACAAAAAAAATAATAATAATAAACTTCAATTGCTTAATTGCTTGTTGGGGCTCATCTTCAAATGACCAGAAAACCAAAATATCCTATTTTCAAACAGATAATTAAATAACCTTACATTATTTGGTGTAAATATAATATACCTATATACATGGGCGCCCGCAGAAAACTTTCTAGGGGGGGGGGCAAAAAATTGAATTAACTTTCCAGGGGGGGGGGGGGGCAAACATTTTTAGAAATGTTTTAATATAGTTTTAATTTACTGTAGCGTATTTGTATGGTGAACGAACGGACAGGACATCAGCTTAGTTACTTTCTCTTTATTTTCTCTTTACTTTAATACATTTTTTGTCTAAAAAAAATTATCCAATCAATCAATGGGGAGGGGGGGACAAGTGCCCCCCTTGCCCCTACCCGCGGGCGCCCATGCCTATATATATTATTATTTTTTTTTACCAGGAAATAGCAACATTGATAGTTTAGTGAGGGTGCTGGTAAAATTGTTAAAAATATCACAGAATCACTCTGACATAATAATAATTATTGAATTTATATTAAAAACGCTATTAATTGTCAGTGTTCCTTTAATACAAAGCACTAACATAATAATTAGGCTTTTAAGTCAATATCTTCAAGCAAACTCATTGTCAGCCTGCGATAACACCTATCCTAGTACAAGAGACATTTATCAGAGTTCCCTCAAGACGTTTTCATAACCAATAGCAGTTAAGAACAAGATAATATATGAGGTACTGCGTACGAGCCGCAAATAGTAAATAAACACTGGGTCAAGCTATGTACAGGCTTTAAAAGAACGAAGGCAGGACAGTCAAAGGGACGTTTCGGCTAAACGCCTTCTTCAGCAGACAAGACCAATAACCAGAAACAAAAATTTAGTAGAAATTAATATCTCATGTTTTCCAAGATCTCAGTGTAGTTTTCTCATGCTCTATTTACGAATTTAATCAATTTAAATATGTTATAATTAATGTAAATAGGCCAATATGTAAATATAAAAATTCTTCAATGTGCTAGAATTATCTATTTAAATTAGAACAAAAAAAAATAATAACTGAAAAATCACAGAAGATAGCACTAGTTAGAATTATTCTTTTAAAGTGCGTAACTTGAATGTAGGTCCATGTTTTGTTAAGTAACTTTAGCAGATGGGAAGTTCATGAATTGTCACCGCCATTGCTTGGCGGGTAATTTCAAATTAAGAAGATTGCCTAATTTAGGATGGCCACTATTTCAAACCCTGCGAAAATTAATAAATATTTATTGTTTACCTTTGAGTAGTTGGGGATACTTGGTTAAGTTATAATTAATCTCCACATAGGATGACATATTTGACCAGACGATGACCAGCAGATTCACGTTGTAACCCTTGTACGCTGAATTAATCTCGAAGTCGTACTGATACCGCCAGGCGCTGGCTGGCAGCAAGGACGACATGCAGCCTGATTTACCCACTGGAGGAGATAACACATCTGAACAATAACACCTAATCTCTAACTCCGTGTCTCACACAAATTGTTTCTAATGTAATAATATGTAATGCCTATAAAAAAAAAAAAACGATGATCTGTCGTCTGACTATCAGTCATGAAAGAAGAAATAATGGAGCAAGAGGTTTGCGGTTTTTCGAAAAGCAGGACGATTACAAGGAATTTACGACAAAACGACGTCTTCAGTAGAGGAGACGATACACGAAACAACAAATATAAATTAAAGATTTTTTTGTTCAATCATTCGCATCAAAACAGTTTGTGTGGAGAAATGTGAGTTTAAATGACCCTTTTAACAAATTATTTAATTTATGATCATATGCTTCATTTCTTTAGCGTAAGTATCAAACAATTTTCTTAGAATGTATGCCAAGAACGTTATAGAAGTAAACGAGATCGAAATTTCAAGAAAATTTCTTAATATTAATTTTGATTGAAATGAATGTTTCTCATCTGCTGACAAATTACAGTGGAACCTTGGATAACAAGCGCCCCAGTTAAGGAAAAATTCTGTTAACGAATGATTTTAGTGAGAAACATTGAAGTCACGGAACGGAATAATTTCGTTAACCCAGGTCCCACTGCATTTTTTAAAATGATTCCTCGACGCCAAGGTTGGTGACATAATGCTAGTAGAGTTAAAATAACTGTCAAAAATCTTTGTAAATTAAAAAAAAAGTGAATTTCTCCTTTAATTATGATTTAGAAATATAATTAACATTATTTTAAACATTTGCGGCAATGTCCCAACTAAAATGTTAACATGCTTTTACTTCTGTCAAATATTTCGTAGGCGTAAAAACTGGCGTTTCCTCGAATTTGATAGAATGCGTTTTGGGTAGCATCTAGTACGGTGACATCTCCTACACCTTTTAAGATCGTGCTCTTTGTCGACTGGTTCATATAGCGTATCTGACAGAAGAAAAAAAATCAAAAGTTGAGTTAATTGAGGTTAAACTTCACAGCTAAAAAGAAGTTATGTCTAATGAGTGAACTATATTTAAGCACTTACTCAATTTAAATGTATTTGAAAAGCATTTTGTGTGTGAGATTTTTTTTAAATGAAACTTAATAACGTGAGTGGTGTCTGAGTGTGTATGTCGTGGCTGTGCCTTTGTTTGTTGTTGATTTTTTTTTTTTTTTTTTTTTTTTGGTGGGGGGGGGGGGTTTTTTCTTTTTGATTTTTACATTTTTTTTGTTTTTTTTTGTTTTTTTTTTTTTTTTTTTTTTTTTTTTTTTTTTTTTTTGTCGTGGGTGGACTACTTCGGTTAGTTATTTCCCAAATTTGGCATTTGGTTAAAATTCAGTTTACTGCTAAGCCGAGTGGTAAATTTTATAAATAAAGTTTTGAGTACACAATAAAGTCCTTTATACAAATTTTAACTACTGGTCAAGCATATGACGCATTAAGCAAATTTTGATCACATTTTACAATGATTTTATAACAATAAATCCCAGCATTAAAATCTTATTGGATGAACTGAAGTTATTAAGAGAGCTCTATAGTTATAGAGCATAACTGCAATAAAATGTTTTCATAATCTCATTTACATTTAAGAAATGTTAATATTAACTCCACTTTTGTTTGTGGCTGTCTGGGTTGCAAAATGTTCGAACGGCAAATTGACCCACTTCACGTCAACCTATCGAGCTGAGACTTGGCATATAGACTCGATGACCACATATTCTTTCAATTTTTTCAGCCCCTTTCCCAAACACAAACCCAAAAAATCTGTTTGTCCTGTTTTTCAATGTAACATGAAGAAAAAAATTCACAAAATCTGCGCTACATGAGATTCTTTCTAAAAAAAATATAAAGAATCCCATGTAGTGCAGTCATTGTGAATTTTCCTTCATGTTACCTTGAAAAACAGGACGGAAAAAATTCACAATATAATACTTGTAGCTTTCTAATGAGTTCCTTGTAAAATTATTATGACAATAATTCCACAATTTAAAAAAAAATGTTAGCATAAGATTTTTTTTTTCTTTTTACCCTACAAATATCATGATGTGTAGTTTTAATGAGTCCTCATGAGCTAGTTAAAGAGTTATTGCATTATGTTTATTTTCATGTGAGCGTTGTACTGTGTAGATATGATTCTATTTTATGTTATTACAGAGGAAAATAAGAAAAGTTAATATTTAGAGAATCACGTCTTGTATCTGGTTTATCATCCATGTCTATTAAGTATAACTCGGTTTACGTTAATCTTACCACGTAAAATTATTATTGTTTTAAATGACATGTCGGCGGGAAAAGTTACATAATTAATTTTAGAAAATTCCCAAAGTGTGCGTAATATACTATTTTCGTACTTATGTCCGACCAGATGTTTACCTCTACGAATGTCCAGTCTTCCGCAGCTACAAATCTGTAATAATCTCTAGAGGCAATTGGATTTTGCAAAAAGCCGATATATTCTTCTTCAATATATTCAAGTGGCAGAAGCTGATCCATAGAAAAATCATAAACAGAAGTGCTTGATTTATTCTGAGAAAGGAAAGAAATGTAATGCATTATATTTTTTTAATTATAAAAAAAAACAGGCGCATGTAACTGATTTTAATTAATTAACACCTACAAAGAAAGTTATAAATCTTTTTAAAATATACATTTTTTTTCTGTATATTTCAGAGATAGATAAAAAAAAATTCTAGTTATGTTTAAACATGCATACAAGTAACGCCCTTCATAAGAATCCCACTTAGTGCACCCTCATGAAAACTTGCAAACACACCTTTTTTTCCCAGGCCCCTGAACAATATTATTATTTAACTACCATCCTCTTTTATACATTTTTTTTTATTTCACCTCAAATTTAGAAGAAAACAGAACATATTAAGTACCAAACCCAATTACGAAAGTTTTTAAAAGAATATCATTTAGCGCACTAATCCGGGAATGTTATTTTATTTTTCCCTTTTAAAAAAACAACAACAGGAAAACGGATTTTTAGGGATTAAGGGTGGGACTAAAAATTTGAAAAAATATGTTGTCATCGGCATCGAGTCTATGTGCCATATTTCAGCTCGATATGTTAATGTGAAGCGGGTCAATTAGCTGTCCGAAGGCTTAGCCAGCCAGCCACCCACGAACAAAAGGGAAATTGATGTAAAGGATTTAAAAATAATTTTAAATGGTGGAAAACGGAGCAGATTTTGTTTCCCCCCCCCCCCCAAAAAAAAAAAAGTTTGCTGATCTGAAAATCAATTTTTAAAGATTTTCACACCTTTAAAAAAACAAAAAAACAACAACAACAAATAAAGCAACAAAAAAAAACCATGGTTACATGCCCCTTAGAGAAGCGAAAAATAAAGTGTGTAAAACCCAAACTAAAACCATCAGGGTACGTCTGGGATAAGGAGTTGAGCTATGAAATATTAGACACTAAATATGGCTATCGTCCATCGTCAAGACACTATGGTGTGTTTTTTTTTTATTTGGAAGCGGCGGAACTAAGAGGCCTGGGCTGAGACGTTATGCAAAAAAATATATATATATTCAAGTTAACTGACCACCTCCTCAAAAATAAATTAATCCAGTTGCTGATGAGCCCCAGGGAATTTTCTAATAGTGCATATAAAGTATTGCAAAGAGGCATCTCAGAATTTGTGCATTTTTTTAAATTGAGCACAAAAATAGAAGCTTTGCATTTGTATTTTTATATTCTAGTATATTTTCCCCTCATTGTGAAAATGAGAATGCGATCGCCGTAAACTTACCCCCACCCCCACCCCTACCTCTCACATACATACAGTCTCACCCCCAGATTTTCCAGAAATACTGCGACTGGTTGACTAGCATTAACGTACGCTCCATCCAGATTGGCTCCGATGGAGACTGTCATAGCGTCGTTCATGTACTTGAGTGTTGCCCTGGCTGTGTACAGTTTGCTAGTTAAAAAAAAATTACATTTCTTGAGTTACAATAATGAATAAAGTAACATAGATGAATATTTACAAGAGCAAGAATAGAATTTAAAATAAAAAAATAAAAGAAATGGTTGACGATACCAATTTTTTAAAATATATATATGTATATATTTTAAAAAAAATTTGACACAAATATGTATGCTATGACCTCACTTTACAATGACGCCACCGATGCTGAAAGAAGAGGCGGGAGTGCCGTGGTTGTTGTAAGTTATCATAACATCAGTTGTTCCCCCAGACATTGCTACAATGGTCACCGTAGTGTCTGCAACAAGTGGCAGGCACATTTTTAAAACCTCACCAGCATACGACCTTAAAACTTACACTAGCTTTAAAAAAAAAAGGGGGCAAAATACTGTGAACAATAAAAGTTCAAAATTTGCAAGACGTAGTGAATGATTTCGCATCGAAAGAAAACAAAAGACAGCCTGAATACCTTTACGGTAGGGAATCCCTGAGTGTAGTATGTAGGACCTCCCGGTCTGCTTGCTGGCGAACATTTGTGCAGGGAAGATCAGGCACGAACTGGCCATGTTTAATGTCCTGTCCATCACATACAGGACAACGACCACAGGCATGCTGGACGTGACCTCAACAAACCGGGAGTAGACGTCTGAATTTCGAAAGTCAGATTATGTGGATAGTTTGAAAGGAAGGTAATGGACACTTGTTTGCATGTTATAATTGTTTCAATGGATTTTGGAACCCGATAGCTATGATACCATGTGGCAAAACAAACTTAGAATTGGTTGGCACCTGACTTGTCAAAACAATAAAAAGCATTGATTAATTTTGCAGAATATTCTGAAAGGACATCACCCAAACTCTAAAGAGGAGAAACAAATACAAATGATTCTTTTGAGCTCATAACTTCATCTAGAGGAAATATGGGCTAATTTGGAATGGTTGAAGAAGAAAAATGGAAGGGTAGGAAAAATGGTTTTGAGGCCAGCTAAGGCACTGTCTTGGGTATATGAATTAATTGTAAAGAGTTTTAATCCCACTTACATGACAAACTTAATGAAATTGATGTGTTTTTGTGTATATTTTTTGTGTATGTTTTTTGTGTATGTTTTTTGTGTATGTTTTTTGGGAATATTATAATAGACAACGAACGAAAACTCCTTTTAAGGGAGTTAAACAGTTTTTTTCTGCACGCCTTTGCTCCAATTATCAAGCTGAACTGTAGCCGGAATCAACAGCTGTTGTTAGTTATTTAACGTATCTCTAAATATTTTTAAACGTTTTTGTCCCATCTCAAAATGTCCGATATATATAAGATATATCTACCTCCCTGTTTTCTGCCGGGCTGCTTTTCTTTTTGTAAAAAGATGACCTGGAAGTCTTGCCATTGTCTTGTAAAGACATGTGAAACTACAAGCATACAAATTGCACATAACAATAAACGCCTGTCACGAGACGGACCTGTGTCAGTGACGGTCAGTGACGTGTTGAGGTTAAACTGCACCGCTCTTTTTGGGGTCAAGGTCATGAGCTTCTCCTCTTCGACTCCCTTGTCGTAGCTGACCTTGAAGGTCAAGTACACCTCGATGGACCGGAAGCCGGCCGTTATTTGGAGGTGAGCCTCGGGCGAGCCGTTGCGGACCATCTTCGGTAAGACGGCGACATGGCGCTGTGGGTCAACTACTACGACGGCTGAGGGGGTAAGAGGAAATTAGATAACGTTTTTGTGTTGTTTTTTTTTGGAAACAAATCCTTTGTTTGTTTGTATTTATTTATCTTTTTTAAAAATTATTGTTGATTTTTATATTAATTAAATCCTAAAATAACTGCTGTGACTAGATGGTCTATTTGTTTAATAAATGATCGTCAGAAGCTGTGACTAGATGGTCTATTTGTTTAATAAATGATCGTCAGAATGGTTATTGCAACCGTAACACTCGTAATGTGAGCCGAAAGCTAATTTTTGTTTAGGCAAAAAGCGCTTAAAAGCGTTTTTGGTCGCTTTAGATTTGCGTATTTAGCGTTATTTCCTATATTTATAATGGTACTTCCAGACACTGTTGCCCGTGTTTACAACGTTGTTGCCTCCACAGCTTAGCTAAGCGAATTTAGGGCAAGAAAATTATGGACCCAACACGTATGATGGTTTGAAATGTGTGGCAAGAAACTGTCCCTAATTTCAATTTTGTAGGATAAGAAATTCGTGTTACGATGAATACATTTTGAGGATTGAGTATGTAGCGTAAAGTGAATGGAGCATGGAATTCGTATGTCTAACGTTGTAACTAGTATTTTTAATGGTAAGCGAATTTGATTAAACATTATTAAAAGTTCCTCATGCGTCAAGTCAACTTAAATATCAAGACCTCTTTTTTTTTTTTAAATATCATTTCACACCAAGCATCGAAGCATCGAACGTTCCATGGCACGAAATGTTATCTACCTGTTTGACATAAGAATCCGTGCTTCTCAGTTCCTGGCCTGTCCTGCCACAGGACGCCGCCAGCAGTATTGTTCCATAAGAGATAGTTATCTTGACCACTGATATCTGATGAGCTCAAGTAAGTGCTCACCGCCTGGTCACCGCCGGTCACCCATGTGAAGTTTTCTTTTGTCATCGCATTGTTGGCACCAAGCCAAGCTTTTCAGATTTGAAAAAAAAAAAACAAGAAGTTTTCACAAAATTGATGCGGTGCATTTCAAACTTGTTAAGACCCCTAGAGTGTGGGAATATTGTAATTTTCTCAGGGCTTCAGCTAGAGGGTCCAAACGAAACCAACACCCAGCGACCCACTTTGTGTTTATTTAATAGGCCTCTGATGTAAATCCAAGTGTCTGTAAAGGGTGGTCATGTTTTAAAATTCACATCGGACAACATTTATTCAGAGCACATTACTGTCCCCCCCCCCCCAACCAACACACTATGACCACAAGTCATCTCGTGTACTGCCCTTTAAGTTCAAGTCAAACCTTTTTTTTTTAAATGCCACTTTGGAGAAATGAAAAATTATTTTTATTTTACATTATATAAGACTCTGTCACCAGCCCAGATGGCAGACTTTGTAAATGTTATTCTAGTCGCCCATGTTGTATCAAAAGACGGCAGTCTCTCAAATTGCCCTATTAGATGATTACCGTCGTTGGAAAAATAAATATGACTTGTGTAGGTTTCCTTTTGTTTCTTTACCACCGATTCTAAACTTTTTCATAGATGGAAGGGCGTTTCAGTTGCTATTTACAGTAACATTAACATAAATCATAAATAGGAAATTATTAATCAAAACAATTTACCAGCGTTTAGCGGTCCCAAATGCAACTGCACCACACGTTCCATTTCCGCGGTCTTCGGTTCAGCCAGGTGAGAGTTGTTATGTAGACAGTAAGACTTCAAAGAAACATAGAAACAATATTAATTCAGTGACTTTGTGCTTCATATATGACAATTAGAGATGGGAACACATCGGGAAAGTTCTTTAAATAATCTATTTTTATTTCATTTTTTAATTATTATTTTTTCTGATTGCTGACAATTTAAAGTGTTCTATTAATAATTAAGCCTCTAATTAGGAAAAAAAAAACACTTTCATTGTCCTTGAGATACGAATAAGGTGATGTGACATTCAAATAATTTCTTAGAGGGCTACGAACAATAGAAAACGCATCAGAAAATAAATTGCTCTGCATGTGACGGGAGCGCCCAAAGATAACAGAATGAAAAAAAAAATAACGTGACATTACGGTGCAAAAGACAAGAGGACGCCTCCACCAGACGTCGATGGCAAGTTAACGAGGGAACTTAGGTGGCAACGGCAACAATAGAATAAAATAGAGTAGTTCAAAAACTGGATTTATCTTTCAAAGACAAGTTAAACGCCGTAAAAAATGTAATCTAAAGAATCGTTTCAAATTTTCTTAAAATGAATTACGCCATGAAATTCTGTGCAGAAGGGTAGTAAGGCACACTGTGTTTTCAAAAGTTTATAAATAACAATAGAAGAAGCGTGAAAATACTCCAATTCTTCTTTTGTTTTTTTTTTCTTTCCATTTTTTTTATTTTCTTTTTTTACCGGGAGGTGTTGGTTATAGGCCTGGTCAACACCAGACAATTCTTAGTTATTCTTTACGTTTACAGCTTTTGCCAGATTTCAAATAATACTCGATGTTCTTTTGGTAAATAGGGTTACGACTTTCTCCACAAAAAAATTGCACTTTCCTCCAAAACTTAAATTTACTAATCCCTATACCTTTCTCCGCGACTTAAGTTGTTTGACCAAAGCACTACTTTCTTTGATTGAACAAAGTAGCTTTCTGCACTACTTCATTTGTTTACCCCAGCACTTTCATCCACTACTTCATTTGGTTGACCAAAGTACCTTCCTCCACCAATTTATGTTGGTGACCTCATCACCTTACCCAGTACCACTTACCCGAGCCTCCGACCACGTAACCTGTTGGCTGTAGTATTTAAAGCAGTAACCGGACGCGTAGACAGAGCCTGGGAGGATTCCTTCACACGGGCTGGCAGCATCTGGGGTTTAAACGGGGAACCAATGTACACTTTTTAAAAGGTTGACTTTCTTTTAAACTCTGTACATTTCGTAATGTAAGGACACTTGAAATTTTACATTGATGAATTTAAACATATAAATAAAATATATAATTAAATTTATATTAAAAAAAAAAAAATGAAAGTCACCCAAACGAAGGGGAAGAAAAACATTGTAACAAGATAAAGTATTACAGAGTTGTTTATCTAATGGAAAACTTCTGGGAAACAGACCGAGAGCCAGATCATGCAAATTTAGCCAAATGCTTTAGAAATAAAGAAGAGAGAAGTTCAGAGATGACAGACAACTGCGTGGCTTAAAAACTAACAAGGGAAGACGGAAAATAAATCTTTAACTAACTTTTATAATAATCTGTCGTTACTGTTTTGCGATTACCTTAAGAATATGTAATATTTGTTTTATAATCAAAATGTTATTTTTAAAAAAAATTTCAATAAATTCATTTCACCATATTTTGAATCGTATTATCATTGATGATTGTTCTTAAATATATATATTTTTAAGAGGACCTATTGATGGCGCCACCTTCAGAGAAATAGCTGTGCTTTTTTTTTTTATATAATTTTTTTCGTCACACCATGCAAAATACAGCATCTGCCTTTGCTTAATATCTCCTTGCCGAGTTGAAATGTGCAAAGTTGTTGGGGTAGACTAGATATAAGTCATTTTTTAATCCTTTAGATTAACTTCGCTTTTTTTTCATGTTTCTGCGTGGTAAAAATCTTCGGAATACTAATTGACCCATTTCCCGTCATACTATCACGCTGAAACTTGGCATAGACTCGTTGTCGATGACAACACATTCTGTCAAATGTTCAGCCCAAACCCCCATAAAATCTGTTTTTCACAAAGGGGCGGGGTGATTGTTAATCATTTGTCCAATCGTTGCGCGTTCTCGCGTGGAGATGAATTGTCTAGCTGCTGCTATATACTTCGTATTTGCTAAGTATTTAAGTATGCAGTACAAAAAAAAATATTCTTTGAAGGGGAAAGTTAAGGAAATATGAAACGTTATTGACAAAAATGAGAATTTGACGATATAGCAATTTGAAAGTTGTGAAAAGGCTTCGTATAAAAATCGCATCAAATATATGATCGAAAGGTTGATCGCTTGAACTGAGCAATACATAAATAATGGCAAAATAATGCATGTAAAATGATTTATACGATTTCAATTTGTTTTGTTTTTTAAAAAGGCTCGTTTTTTAAGAAACTACAAGTTCCTTCATGAATAGTTCAAAGGCTCTACTTTTATTAAAAATTGTAACTAGAAAGTGCGATAGAATATTTCACCTGTTCATAAAGCGATGTCAGTGAAACAAAACAAATCTAGTGAGCTTTTTATTTATTTTTTACTCACCAAACTGACAGATGAAAGGGAGAGCGTTGTTACAATCCTCGTCACTCAGGGTCCCCACTCTCGAGTCAAACGCCACACAGAACTCGTTCAGACTGCCCGGCTGTCCGTCTTGCCACCAATTGAGTCGTACGACGGTCTGGTGATTGGTCCACACGAACGACTCCTCAATGGCGCTGTCGGTGGCGCCAACCCAATCTGTCAAATGATGTAGTGACATAGCAATTACATGCCGTGGCATTGCGATGGTCAATAACCTGTCGGATGTAAGGTCATTGGGTATTTATAATCTGAGGTGTTTCATTCATGCATTCATTCATTCCTCCTGCGCCGATTTTAGATCAACAGTTTGAAGTTTGTACTAGTGACCTTTTATTTTTTTTAAAATAATTTTCTTTTTGAGTTGCTCCAATGTAAACAATGCCAAATGCTAAAGGCATATAGGGAAAACAAAACGCCAGTTGAATACATCACTGCTTACTTAGGAGAACTGTTCAATAATGCACACCCCGGCAGAACAAAGGCTATCACTGCCAGAGGAGAGCATTGCTGCCATTTTTTTCAAAGTGCAGATGGTGCATCTGAAAAGCAAATTTTACAAAGGATATCCATCCTGAGTTGCCCCTGTGACTCAATCTGCTACCGTTTTCTTTTCCAGCGATGAGATTGAGGGGGGACCACAGATCTGAAGAAAACTTTTGGTCAAGATAAATGGGTCCCAATGCAAGGATGAGTTGTATTTTACAATCCCCACCTTTGTCTGAAATTTACAATGTCCACATCAACGTAGATATTTGTAGCTCATTCAAAAACTTTCAACGCCTCTTCAAATACGTTTACAAGGGGCATGACCGTGTAATTGTTCAATTCGTCACTGTTGACACAGAACATGAATCTATTATTAAATGGAACAAAGTAAGAAAATTGCTTGGAGACCCGACGTGTAAGTGCAACTGAAGCATGCATGCTGGAGACCCGATATGTAAGTTCAACTGAAGCATGCTGGAGACCCAATATGTAAGTGCAACTGAAGCATGCTGGAGACCCGATTTCTAAGTGCAACTGAAGCATGCTTGAGACCCGATATGTAAGTGCAACTGAAGCAGCCTGGAGACCCCATGTGTAAGTGCAACTGTAGCATGCAGGAGACTCGATATGTAAGTGCAACTGAAGCATGCTGGAGGCTCAGGGAATACAAAATGCGCAAACAAACTGATCATTTCAGAAGATTAAATGTCCATTATAAGGGAAAGCATACAATTAGATGGTTTATATTGGTCTAGGAAACTGAAGCTGTACAGCAAATAGCCAACAAGTCCAAACTCCTGTCTTGGTTTAAACTCAATGACGAAGACCCTAATTCCGGGGAGTATTTATATATTAAAATTCCCGAACGCTTTACGCGGGAAAGACAAAAATTTTAAAATGAAAAGCACGCCTTAGAAGACGCGAAGCTGCAACTGTCAAAATGTTTCAAGTCAATTCTACCAATAAAGAAAAAGCTCTCTTCGTCTGAATGCTTCTTCTCAGTGTTGTAGCAGCAACACGTTTCAAAGACCTACGGACAAAGACCCACAAGCAAGGACCTACGCACGAGGACCTAAGAATCATCAAAGGACATCCTATCCCCTTTGCAACTTTCCAAGAAGCATGTATCCCAAGGGGATTAACTGACGATGACTTGGAACGGGATACTTTCCTAACAGAAGCTTGCAACCCATCAGAAGCCAGTACAAATTACGCAGTCGTTTGCATTTATTTGTATCATGTGTGAGTCGTCGGATCTAACAGCTTTATTCGACGTACACAAGGACAATCTTATGAAAGCCTATACGAGATGCTTTCCTGTTGGAGACATAGCTCTCTCGTTGACACTAAAAGAAATTGAATCTGTCCCTCCAACGCATGGAAAGTCATTGGCAGATTTCGGCCTAGAACTTCCAGACGGCTACTAGAAAGCATCACCGTATTTCTCCTTATACTGGTCTCTTACTCCAGTGTGAATTAATGATCGCGCGTACTACTTTATTAATAGTTGAATTAGCATTGACACCTTTAAAAACTAATTGATAACGATACAATGAAAAAGACAACAACAACATTCTAATATTCAAATATTATAGTTAAAAAAATCATGATTAACTTGTCAGATTCAACAAAAGATGAAACGTTATTGAATGTTTTATAAATATACGCATCTTATCACGTTATTTAACCTTAGATACCAGTTTAAGAACTTAAATACGAAACATTCTTGTCGGTTTCGCACTATTCTCACAAAAATATAATGGCGCATGCTCAAGGTAGTGCAAGATACATTGAAACAGCAATATCAAAAAACAAATCAAGAAACCCATTACGAAACAAACCATTGTTTTTACATATCTTTCGGACTTCAGTTATTTTAGGACATTTAAAATCTGATTTTTAAAAAAAAATGCTCTATAATTGCACGCCTAGAGTATAAGAGATATCTCGATGTAAAAAATCCACTTCATAGGGCTTGTTGTTCTAGAGATCTTGTGAGATCTTATTTATTTTTGAGGTTACGTATGTCTATAAGACCTAAGTATAGGCATTATGAATAGTATTTAAATCCTTCTTTAAACATAAATTTTACAAAAGTTTACAAAAATACTATTTAGTGTTTTGACATGGGCGTTTATCCACTACAACCATAGTACTGCTAAGTCTTCAACCTGTAAAACTTATTTCATTTCGTTTCGATTAGAAAAGAACCCCAAAAAAATGCAACTTGTAAGTTAAAGAAACTTAGAAACGTGTGAAAAGCAATATCATTTTGATGGACTTTAGCTAGTATTAGTAGCATTCAAATAATTACTTACAAAATTTGTAAGGAAATTTCTTCGCTATGGCAGTTCTCTCCGCGTTATCTGTCGGCTCAGCCAATGTGCCACCAGCGGTTTGGCAAACTTTCTGGAAACAAAAATGAGAGACAATGATGCGTCCAAATATAAATGAGGACATCATTAAGTGAAAAATACACGTACATTGATATAAATGCGCCCATGACCTTAAAAGCAATGGGCGCTAAGCTCAACAATTTCTGTCAAAACAGCTACAGCAAGGGGTGAGGACAGTTGTTACAGGCCATGACCCAAGTGTCATATTATTGTGTAACTTTTTACATTTAAAAAAAATGCTCATTTAATTTCGAGGTAAGAAATCAAAATCAAGAAAAGTGGATGTGATGTCATTTAAGGAACCACTCAATATTTTCACACTGACCCACCTGTGCGCTGTCCCAGGTCGTGTCAACGTTGATTAGCTTAATACACTTTTGATTTATACTAAGGGAAACCGCTAGGTCACATGCGCTGGTCAAAGCTAAATGATGAATATACAAATCGTAGTAAGACGTTGACCTAATTTTATTTTATTTTTTAAATTATATAAGTTAGCAATGTTATACTGAAGTTTTGATAGAAAAAAAAAAAAAAGCAGACGTTCGGGATTCATACAAGGAAGATTCGTCATATAATAGGGAGTTATTAAATTCAATGATTATCTACACATTTGTAATGGCTCATAAGTAGGATCTACAACTTATTATAAGGGCCTACAACTTATCGTATACACGTAATAATTATAACCATGATTTCCATCTTATAATATGGAGCAACAACTTATAAGAGAAAGATCCACAATTTACAGTAGGGAACCAAATCTTTAATATTGATCTTCAACCCGTAACCTGAACTGATAACGAGGACCTAAACAATAATATTGGGCAACATTCTATAAACATAAAGATGCATTTTATAAGAGAAATATTCAAAATGTAATTTATTTTTCACCTGCACCTTATAACATTGAGCCACGAATAAAACATTAACGTTCTAAACTTAAAAATCTCAACTTTTGTTTTCCATGGTGGCAAATTGAATCTTAAAACCAGTTCCATATAATGATCGCCCGCCCCCCCCCCCCACTGCCATCATTCAAGAAGGTTAAACTTCATAGCACATAAATATATGTTGCAGATGATAATCTTAAATCTTAAGGGGAAAAAAAACAGTAAGATATCGAGCCGAAGCTCCTAAAATCCTCCCTCCCTAAATTTGTCCTTTTTTTTTCTCCCCCAACCCAAAAACTTCACTCTTGGGGCCGCGAAGCGGCACGTCGAGAACACCCCCCCCCCCCCCCCCCCCC